TAAGAATGATTGTTCAGGTATATCTATATTGAAACCGTTACTCTTATGACGTTGCAGTGACGTATCTATGTGGCGTCTAAAAATCACGTCGGAGTGATGTACCAATTTGGTGAGCTTCGTCATTTAGTGAATTTTTCAATAATTTACTATTCAGATTTTTGTTGGGTGACAAAGAATGCATCAATATACATTATTCAACAAAGTGAAGCCAAATTAGCCAGCATCCTTTCCATTGCTATCAAACTATTCTTTGTTTGCTTACATCTCGCCGACACAAAATACATAATTTTTGATACAAATACGAGTAACTGATTGCATTCTGATGGAGATGCGTACTGAAGGATGGCGCTGCTGAATAGGCGATTGAATGAACATGACACAGGAGGGACCCACCAAGCAGACTCAACAATGCATAATCACACACCATGTTGAAGGAATCTTTTTAACGTATCATCGCCAAATTCAATCGTCATTTTGACGTCATTATGACGTCAGTCGGACGTCACAGTTTGGTGAGTGAATGACGCCAATACGACGTGAGTAGTATGACGTCATTGGGCTGTGACTTATTCACGTCATTATCACGTCAATGCGACGTCAACTACTGACGTCACCTTGGTCATTCAAGTGACGTCACTGGAACGTCATCTGGTTGCCTGGGACCTGTCTATACACTTCGAATCCAGTGGCGTAGTGATTTTTTTCAATGAAAAAATTGTGAATAAAAAATCACGATTTTCGACTATGAAAAAAGATCGTAACACGCCCTGCAAATTGGAATAAACATTTCAAGTTTTGTACTAAGGTGAAGCTTTCAGTACTTGACATTTGGAAAAAAAATATCGAAATCGGTTCACAACTTCAAATTTTAGGGGGGGGGGTTCCATTAAAAATGGGTCACACACTGTTCATACCTTGGAGTCATTTTCCTATATTTCCAGATATTCTCATGATTTTTCAATGTAAACTTCGATACATTGGGAACTGATGAAAATAATGAAAAACAGTGCAGCAATTCTCGATTTACGCGTAACCAATCAGACTCCTTGACGCGAAAAGCAAAAAAGCTGCATTGTTAACTCATCATTACTCATCTCAGGTAAAATTATCCCCATTTGTAACCTTTTTGCCACCGCACATGCGCATACAAATTCGGTTCTGCTGGATGGCCTACCTGTCGCATCTGTGTAGTATGGTGATCAGAGATTCTACCTAGACAAATTCTCAACGGCATAATTATGAATTGTTAGCTCTTATCAATGAATGAATCAACAAATGGACCAACTGTGGATATGAAATGAGCATTTCAAATCGATTCAATCACAAACTGACTGCAAATTTGAAGTTACGCATTTTAATGGATAGTCTCAGAGAAGATGTCATCTAGTAGATCAGATCGATAGTATAGAATTCCAGATAAAGATATATAATGTTCTGATTCACATAATTTTCCTTTGGATTTGCTGGGATACTTGCTGGTAAAATTTGGATCATTCCTTTTAGGTGGCTGGAATCATAGTATCATCATTGGGATCTCCTGAGCCGTAAGAAACTCAGGGTCGATTGAATCATTGGAAAGTTGCGCAATGTTATGCCCAACATAATGTCGTTTCGAAAGTTGGAATATTCCGAAACCTTTCAGAGATATTCGGAAAATAAACCTCCTTTATCATTTCATCAAGTCGAAATGAATGACACTTTATTATGACCATTGTTTCTTTCCTATAAGTTAGCATTTAAAGTCTGAAATCCGCGATGTTTCGTCTTCCAGAAACCATCATCAACTTATCTTCTCCAAAACGGACCTGGACGTTTTATTTCAATTCCTCATATCTTCCGATAGCCGCAAAAGCTATATGAAAAATCACGAAATTCATATTGTTGAATGTTTTGGTTACAAAAATTGACAATTTCTATTTTTTTGTCAATAAAATACGAAACTGTAAGTTTTTGTTGACAAAACACACGAAAAAACAATTCGTGATTTTTAATAGCTTTTGGCTGTCCAAAGGTAGGAAATGAAATGTGATGGCAATGTCCGTATTCCAAAAAAAGGGTTGAAGATGATTTCTGGGAGACGAAACATCGGATTTCATATCTGAAAACGCCAACTTCCTAAGTTTCAAAGCAGCATTTTGTTTTGCATAAAATTGAGCATCTTTGCCATGATCAAAACAACATTTTACGGTTTACAAGATATCTATGATGAGGCTCTAATACCAGCCTCCTTGGACATACGTGTTCGAATTTTTGATTCACAATAGATTGAACTTCCTTTATAATTTTTGGGTGTTATATAATATTCATTGTATCCATTGCAGTGCTTGCATGAATCTAACGATAAATTCAGCTACTCGTTCCTAAAAATTGACAAAACTCAAAATTGACTAGAGTATATCTCTCCACAGCACACAGTCTCTAACATAATAAATATACATTACTTTTCTCATTAGTTTAGCCACATTTACTACTTAGGCAATGAAGTACCGTCCAGGATTACTGATATGACCCCGGTACTTCAATTTATCAGTGTGCATTCAACATCAAAACCTAATAACTGCTTTCTAGCACCGCAAAGTAAGTACAAAAATGCAAAAGATCCTATGGAGTTTTCTTTATGATAGTTTTGCATATTCATTGAGAACCTGCTTATATACCAAGAAATATTACTTCTCGTCAAGTGTATAAGACGTTGAAAATATTCTCCACAAAGTATTTACTAGATTTTAAGCGAAAACAAGAATGTTCTTCCAATCATCTGTCCTCAGTAGTATATTGACTGAACAAACATACTGGGCCAAAATGAAGCTTAGTTTTATTTTATAATTTCAATTGAACCACATTCTTCTACACACTAGGGTTGTATATTTTTCATTTCAATTCAATAATAATATGTACCGCGTTCTATTTTAGAAAATTGTCGCGGACTTCATAATTTGAACGTGGATCACCCTGTACATGCAGTTTTTCCTTATAAATGTGGTAAATTGTGATTAAAAATCAAGCTGTTTCAGGAGATTGTTCAGAGATGGATAGTTTGGCAAGAAGTGAATTTATTCAGTAGGTACTTTCCGAAAGCACTGTATAGTGTATACCCATATAATAGTGATAGTGTGTGTGGTTATACTGACAATATTCACAAAAATTGAAGAGCTATGATTTCCCAAATATCAATTAATAAAGACATATATGAAGATTTTTGTTTACACTCAAGTATTATGTTAAGGTTGCTCCGTTCTCAATGATTGGTTAGATTGTTGTGAATAAAAATTTTCATTTTCAAAAATCACACATCCTGTTCTGGGTGAATAAGGAACTTCACTATTGTTGTGGGTATAAATTGTGATCATAAACTATTGAATTCAATAACTTTTGAAATATCATCAATTCCTTAAGAGGCAGCATATAACTTCCTGATATATAACTAATTATTCAATTTGATCTATGGATATCCAAAATGTCCCTCAAGGAGATCTATATGAGTATTGAATAACAATACTCAAACTAATGATACAGCTAACCCCATGCATCTTCGAAAATACACTCACCTGCCAAAAATACCGGCCATCAAAAAAATTGCCCAAATTGTTCATCCTGTAACTTCCTTAAGTCGTGAAATTTCGATCACATCGTAAATTTACGTTCTGGAATGTGAAATCGATGGAGAGTTACTGAATGTTGGTAGGATACCTACTGCTCATTTCAATTCTATCTTTAATTCGGAGAGAACTCTTACTGGATAGAATTGTTTCACATCATTTATGTGAATCTTCATTGAGATCACATATTCAGGTTTGAGAGGATGCGTCTTTTATCCTCTACTTCCTTCACACTAAATCCTTGACAGGTAAGTAGACATACTGAGCAGCCTTCTAGTGACAAAGAAATAATGGTTCTCAGTATATAATTCAATTCTACAAATCACAAATATGCAAGACTTTTCTCGAGCGCTAAGCAGACGTTCCATGTTTGTATGTTATGTACAAAAATAACCAAAACAGCTTTATCTGAAAGTGCCTAGAGGTAAATATGGAGGAAGCATGTTTATACACTTGGAACGTCGTATCATGTTGAAAAAGTAATACAATCGAAGTTTATTATTGCCATGCAAATCGGTATTTAAAAAACACTCAACATACTCCGAATTATAATGAATATATACATGAAGAACATTCTATTATATTTCTAATAAACATTTCAATAGTAACAAAAACGATTTGTGAACGCCGTCTAATATTTGTGTAATTTTGCATGGCAATCAACATAAATAAAATGAACACTGTACATATATAAAATACAATAACAATCAAGTACAAATAATAGGTAATTATCTATAACGATACAGAATGTGTATATCATAACTATATACAATGTTGAAATTTACAGAGACCAAGAACGTTTCGAGGCGGTCGAGATGTTATGAAAAATTACAAATTTTAGAAAACACAACCGAAAAAAGTGACGACCCAACATCTCGTACTACGATTATGCTAGGTAATTCGCTACGAGTTCTAGATGGAAATCTGCCTAAAATACGTTATATGGCAGTGACCTTTTTTATACAAAACATTTTTCACTTGTGCAAATATTCCAATCAATAAACTCAAATAGCCTCTCGTGTATAAAACCACATTTGCTATGGCGTGAAAGATCATTCGAGTAATTTCAGTACTAGAGCAAAAATTCCATCTCAAGATGAAATCCATTCAAAATAGACATGTCCATCCCAATGAAGAACCAACATGTTATCAATCAATCTATTAGCAGATCCACATCAGTTGTTTTGATCCTTTCCCTCTTACTAGGAATTTCAATAAATTATGCCATCTTCATCAACACAATTTCACAAAGAGATTTGAAGACAGATAATGTGAGCTGAAAAACGATTTATCACCAGGTTAACTTTGTGACACCACGTGACAAGTGATTTAACGCATATGCACATACAATGCATATACGTTATGACCACGAGATGTCCCAAAGTTAACCTCGTCGGACTCTACTAGACAGCTGTCTTCCACTCTTCGTCATGTTTTGTTATGAATTTTATTGTTACCAACATCATAGTATATAATTGAAATCCCAAATAAGAGGATATGAAAGAAATGGAAGGAATTCAAACAACGTTAAGCTATACAGTAAAAGCCCTAGACTTAGAACCAAGTAAAGTCTTTGTAAAACACCAAAAAAATATTTCATTTGATAAGATACCACGTATTTATTATTTGGATATTTGGAATCAAGATATGTTGTAAATTATAAAAAATAATTCAACCCTGTATATTACAACTGTAGAGTTCATTTGGCATGTTGGGTATGGGATGAATGGGGTTATACAGTTTTAAACATCTAGTGAATATATCACCCTCCAGAAAATAATAAGTCAATCGGATTGTGCAAAACACGCAACAATTATTCTCTAATCCACTTGGATATTAGTCTACCTCTTCAATAAATATTCATTTAACTACCAACTGAAATTAGACAATTTAAATATTAGTTAACAACGATTCTATTGTTTAGTTTGATTCTAGTAAGCGAATACATTAAATTCAAGAGTTCTTGTATTTATAAATCAGTGATGGTGATACAGCTCGAAAATGGTACATACATCGACATCGGATGAGATAGCATAAAAATTTCGTTATCCTAAGTTTTGTCTTTTAGTTGTGCTGCCACAATAGCAAAATGATTGGGCCCATACCGCATGAATTCAGTCGCTTTGTTCTCCATCACCCTCCACATCTTTTTCTCCTACCTCCCTCGTATTACTATCCTCAGTTTCAATACTGCTAGTAGGGGTAGGAGTCTCCTCTACATTCAGCAATCCCGAACCACCCGATTGACTAGAATGATTACTCGTCTCGTAGTTCTTATTATGACTATACTTCATCTCTGTTGAGTAAGTATTACTCAGGTAGCTAGATTTATCCGAATAGCGACTCCCTATTCCGTTAGACTTACTTTCCGAAGAGGCATAAATCGAATCTGGATCGTAAGAACTAGTTTTGGTGTTCAGCGTAGCGTATTTAGGTATATCACTGGCATAAGACTCGAAGAAAGACTTAACATCCTTGGTTGACCCTATGGTGCCATATTTATCAGTATAGTTGGAATCCCCGGGGTTAAAGTTCATGTAGGCTTCGGTCAGAAACGGGTTAGTACTAGCGTAAGTCAATGGCTGTGTGTAGGTAGAAGTTTGAGAAAAGTTCCAACCGTAACCTGATGAAGTGCTAGACATGCTCGAGAATGAAGGTGTGGTGCTGCCCAGAGTGACGTTCAGCCCCGCAGAACTACCCTGCATGGCCGGCGAGCTAGACCGAGACACCTGCCCAAGAATCGAAGGCGATGCCCTACTCAGGCTCGTGATACTCGGCGAGCTCCTGGGACCCGGAGAAGCCACAGACGCCGCGCCGCTAGCGATGGAGGGGGGCTGGCGAATGCCCGGCGAGCCAATCGCTGCCGAGGGGGACGCCCTGAGCATCGTCTGCGTGGAGGGTGAGGCCCTGAGCATCGTCTGTGTGGAGGGGGAAGGGCGGATGGCGGGAGAACTAACGCGGCCGGGCAGGCAGTGTTTGACGGACTCCGAGCCCGAGTGGCTGTCGCTACTGCTGCTTGGCGAGCCTGGCGAAGACACTATCACCTGGCGCGGCCGAAGAACTCCTGCCGCCGACGACGAGGATGCCGCCGCCGGCCCTACCCGAGGGGACAGTGGACGGTAGGGACCTTTGCTTGCTGATGATGGGCCCTATAACATAATCAGCTCGTAAAGCGTGTTCCACTTCGCTCAATCAGGAAGCTGTTGATGGTATACAGGGTGTCCTATAATTAGCGTGCAATACTTCACCAGCAGATTAAACGATTGAGAATATGAAAAAAAGTTCCTATAAACATAGGTAGAAGGTAGAACAATGTCTCATAAGCGAGCTACAGCCCCTTTTGAAGGCGGTACCTTAAAGATATTTTTTATTTTATATCTTCGAAACTGTTGAAGCAGCAGAGCTATGAGATTTTGCAAATCGGCCAATCTTTTTATGCCTAATAATTTGCGATAATAATAATTTGAAAATTCCATCCAGAAATGGGTCGAACTGTAGGGGCTGGGGAGTTAAATCACCCCAACTTTTTTTAGTGCTGTTTTTTTCGCAACCTCAGCATTATGAAACTTTGGAGCCTTTTGCATGGAAAACTTCCTCTTGTTCAACTTCGATAGGAAGCACCGTTCTGGAGTAATATCGATTTGAAAATTACTCCACATTCAAAATTTGAGGAAGTCTATGCACAACCAGTATGTTTGGGCATTGTCGATATAAATGAAAAACTATCTAACTAGGTAGAACGACAATGGTTTGGAAAAAGACAATCAAGTCAGGTGACATGAAAATTCATGAAATAAGTGACAGAAGCATTGTAAAGTCATTTAATTTATGGAAAGATACCTATTTAATTTATCTGAGTGACAATTTTTTACCCAAGTTATTGTTCTTTAATTCATTGGAAAAATGCTTATTAAATTAATCTGGATGACATTTCTTTCAGTCGAGTAACTGTCCAGTGGCTTCCATTTTGTTGAACGCATAGTCGGGCCCGACGACTCAGGTTGAGAAGCAAGGAAATTTGAAATTGGTTGCTTCTTATTTCATTTGCAGCCTCATTTAGTGGTGTGGTGTAAACCAACGAATTCAAATTCCTCCAAAAATAAAAGTCAAGTGGTCGGAAGATCGAGGTGGCCAAGCTATAGCTTCGAACAACTTTCAAACCTCCTGTCACTTATTTTATGTGTCTGTCACCTCTGCCTCGATTTGCTCTTCCCAAACATAGTGGTCGTGTTCCATAGCCTACGCTAAAATTTTTTATTTTTGTAAATTCCTTATGAATTTTTACGACATGTAAGGTAGTTTTCGAATCGATTTTACTCGAGAACGGTGCTTCCTATCGAAGTTGATCAAAATTATCTTTTTCATGCAAAAGGCTTCAAAATTTCATAATTTCATGCTGAAGATGCAAAAAAAAACGCACTAAAAAAAGTTGGGGTGATTTTACCCCCCACCCTCCACAGTTTGGCCCATTTCTGGATGAAATTTTGAAATTATTATCATCGCATATCATTGGGTATAAAAAGATTGGCCGATTTGCAGAATTTCATAATTCTGCTATCAACAGTTTCGAAGATATAAAATAAAAACCATCTTCAGGGTACCACCTTCAAGGAACTGTATAGCTCGCTTATGAGACATTGTTCGACCTATTTTTATAGGAGCTTTTTTTCATATTTTTAATCGTTAAATCTGCTGGTGAAGTATTGCACGCTAATTATGGGACACCCTGCATACATGATTGTGTTTTCAAGGTATATTATTTCAGTTTGCAGTAACACTTTTGAGAAGTACTGCACTTGACTACCGATCAACGCGTCGAAGAAAGCCATACAAAAATCCCGAATCTGCGGAAGAATTGACAATGTTTAGTCTTGCCAGACTCAGTTAACGGGGTGATATTTCCTGCTGAGCAGACCCCAAGCTATTGCATATTATGCCTTATTACCCCATGTTCCTTGCGTCCAGTCTCTTCAATTCAGTTTCGTACGATGGTGAAATGTGGATGGACCATATTCTTTCAGGAAATTTCGATACACCAGTTTCATCACTATTTAGGTGGCTACTTTCGTCTTTTCGATCACTCTGACCATTCTAGCTATCCACATTCGAATTCTGTTTTCGAGGAAATTGTCGTTGAAAATTTAGGTATGTCATCGTTTGCAACTTTTTTGTTGCGGTGACGCCAGATTATAATAGGAAATCCTCGAAACTGAATTAGAACGTTTCATGTAATAATCTAGTATCCATTTTCTAATTACTAAGTACACTTTTATCTAAAAATACCTGTTCAGAGTCGATGTGTAGTGTCACTGATTGTAGTGTGGAGATAGATCATCTGTGTAAGAAATAACTCGTCCGTACTATGGAGAATGCATTTTGTAATGAAGATAAAATGATCAGAATTACACTGACAAAATAATGCACTCCTATCGTGTATCAATATACAGGGTGTCCGGAGATGAAACCGACAAGATTTATGGGGTTATAGGGACTGTCAATATGATTGCAAAATGCCATAAACCAAGGTTCAAAACCGCTTCTTTATTGACATACAGAGTGATTTATGGATTTTGACAAAAAATTCAATCCGCCATATCAAATACAGGGATTATCCGATTAGATTCAAATTTGGTACACGGAATACACTGAAAAGCATCAACGAGTAGCTCTCTGATCGAAACCAATATCAGGACCGGAATGATATTTTTTCCCTATTTTGAGTTATTGTGAGAATAACTCACCCTGTATAATAATATCCAAAGATTCCAACTCAGATTCGAAATCTACGGTGAAAAGTGTATAGGAATTTGTAAGAAAATCTCCTGGCACCATCGTAGTTATTCCGTAATTAATTATTATTTTAATATTTTTCATTCAAAAATCAATTATTGTCGGATAAAGTACCATCAAAATTGGTGATATAATAAATATTAACCAAAGGATGATATGAATATCGTTATTTTCTTCAATCACTTCGTAAATCGTAGTAGAATAAAATTCTCTCATAACCCGAAAAAACTGAAGAATAAATTCGTATCAGGACTGGAATGATGTTTTTTATGATTATATTTCTGTAAGAAAAGATGATCTGAAATAACAATAATGGAATTCACTGAGAAACGTGAAAAACTTGTTGAAAAATGATCGGACTAAACTTTCAAATAATGAATTCCAATGAATAGCTCATAATGTTTGTGTAAAAAGAATACTAGGCTTGTGTCAAATACATAATTTCATTATGGAAAGCCATTGTTAAGCTGTCATAAGCGTTTTTTAATTGGTGTTCATTTATTCCAGTACTTTTAGGATCAAACTATATAGTTCTGGGAGTGTGTTTATGATGCCGTTTCATTTCACTAATGAGGAATAAGCAGATATTCTATTTGTGTATGGGCTTTACCTGGTGATGTTCACCTAAATTTCCTTGTCAATACTTGACCCGAATCTAATGCGAGGTGTAAATACCTGGGGTATGTGGTTTCAGCATGATGGTGCTAGACCTCAATTTTCCGTTTCAGTTCATCTCGATGCCAATTACCCCAATAGATGGATTGGCCGTGGAGGTCCAGTAAATTAGCCACCGCGATCCTCTGATCTAACTGAGCTAGATTTTTTCTTATGAGGTCATTTGAATTAAGAAGTTCATAATGAAGAAATTAGAATTATAGAAAATTCAACATAGAAAATTACTGCCGCCTGTGTTAGTACTAGGAATAACCCTCAAATAATTCGCAAGTCAGTGAATCATCTAATAGCACGCTCTCAAAAATATATTGATGCTGGAGGGCTTCACTTCGAAAATGTTTTGTAATACTGGGTAGTGAAAGTTTTTTACGAATTCATTGGTTTTGTTATGTTCATTAAGAACAGTTATTGTTCGTTGTGTAGTAATTTCATAAATTCAAATTCATTAGTGAACGAATATAATTTACGAAAAATTCACTCTTATCCTTTGTCAACAGGTTCTTTCAGATTCCGAATCGACGATCAGATTATTGATGATTATTGATGTACCTACTAGGTCAGCTAATATAAACAAAAAAAAACTCATTCCAGTCCTGATACGAATTTATTTTTTAGTTCTTTCATGTTATGAGAGTATATTATTTTACTACGAATTACGAACTGATTGAAGAAAATAACGATATTCATATCATGGTTTGGTTAATATTTATTATATCACCAATTCTGATAGAACTTTTTTCGACAATAATTGATTTTTGAATGAAAAAAAAGGAAAATAATAATCAATTACGGAATAACTGAGATAGTGCCAGAAAATTCTTTAACAAATTCCTATACGATATTCACCGAAGATTTCGAATCTGAGTTCCAAATTTCGGTTTTCATTATACAAGGTGAGTTATTCTCACAAAAACTCAACAGAGGGGAAAAATATGATTCCGGTCCTGATATTGGTTTCGATCACAGGGCTACTTCTTAATGCCTCTTAGTGTAATCCGTGTACCAAATTTGAATCCAATCGGTTAATCCCTGTATTTGATATGGCGGATTGCATTTTTGGTCAAAATCCACAAATCACTCTGTATCTCAGTAGCGAAGCGGTTTTGGACATTTGTTTATGGCGTTTTGCAATCCTATTGACAGTCCCTATAACCTAATGAGTTTTGTCGGTTTTATCTCCGGACACCCTGTATATATGAATTCATTATGAAATATCAATAACATTTTCAAAGAGAAATAGTTGGATGATACAGATTGTGCGGATTACGAAACACTTCTAGGGCGCCAAGCTGCTGCCACGACTCCAACCAAGAATCACCCTGAATGAAAATGGACAGTCAATAGCCAGAATTAGACGAGCGTCTCCCGACACAACCATCTTGGCACATCTAAGGTCGAATATGATTTGCCATTAGTCAATTATTATGTCAAGTGGTGCAAAATATATTGATTTTTTCGAATAGAGGATTCGATTAGCGCGTAGAAATCGTAGGAGTTATATTTTTCAATTGATTTTATATTTTATAATTTCATATTTGGAATGGAGGACATAAAAAGAAGCTGTGAATTGATAATAGGTATGTGCGATGCATCAACGTCACTATCTGAAGAACAACAACGATATAGTCTGAATAATTGCGATAATATCATGAAACAATGAATGAAGGAAATACTATCCATTTTGAAACAAAGCTGATCATTAATACTAATAAAAGAAAGAACACAAAAGCAAGTGCGTCTACTAAGAAGAAAAGAACCAAAGATGCTTCAATATTCAAAAAACCGAGTATTCTTGAGCAAAAAGATTTAAATAAAACATAGGATTTCTTCATAGCCTATTCATAACAGATATTGTTCTAGATATCGATAGTTTATAGATGTATTGAACATTTACATGTCTGACACTTATATTACATTTTTTATTTGTACTAGAATTCACACTTAGTCCTATATGTCTAATCAATTTTCTTTGTAAATAAATCCACTTTTCCTTAATGCTACCTTTATTAAAGAGTATTTCTTGTCTCGAACCAAAATATTGATGAGATAAGTATAACGAAGTTCATTTCAAAAATTGGCGCCAATATTTCGCTTGATGTACTATAATATTTGACCTTGGGTGTGCCAAGATGGTTGTGTAGGGAGACGCTCCCCAACTAGCATTTATAGTCGCGATTACGTAATTACGACTATTGGGTCGACTATTAAGTAATATTTACTAGTTGCGGTTACGTTATAATTACGTCGTTACTACGTATTTACGACCAAAATGGGGAACAAATCACGAGTAATTATTACGGTTTGCCGACGTAGCGGGAACTCACACAATTACGTAATGCTTACGACCCGTCGACGTCGAAATTACGTAAAGATGTTGTAAATTTTCCTACCTGACTTTCTATTTCTTTTCCACTTCATAAAAATATTATTTTCTCTCTTTATTATTCTTCATTTCATCCATGAAGTTCACATTCACGAAAAATGAACAAGTCCAATATGCCTAACCATTCAATAAATAATACAAGGACAAACACGCGAAATAATTGATACTCGAACTTGAAAAATTCGAACAACATTCAGTTTTTCGATAAATGTGATGATTTTGCCTCGAAATTCAAGATGCGCCCACAAAATACGGCTCATTTCACCAAAAATATGGTTTTATTTCATTCGGCTATCTTTCAAAAATCATCGTAAATCATGTTAATTTCCATTATTATGCAATTTGTGATCGAACGAATGCTATTATTCTTCATAAAATGATGTTTATCAACAAGAAAAACCAAAATTATTTCCTGTTCAAATGGTTATCACATCAATCAATATGGCTTCCAATCGAAAATGAATCAGAAAGTTACTTTTGGAACTCGTCAGTTATGATAACCTATGTATTGGTAACTTCAACTGAATATAATTACCGAAAAGTTGTTTCAACTATGAAGGAATTGTTTGAGTAGGAATTACCAATATGTTACTTGAAATATCACCAAGAATTGACTAAATTATTAGGTGATCGATCAAGTAACGACAACGTCGTAGAAACCTAATTGGTGACCATAGAGTAATTGCAACTGTGAAGCCTTCTTGGGGTGGTAAGCGTTACCGTAATAATATATCCAAAGTTCCGAAACCTTAAGAGTAGTTTTGAGGAGTGACAGTTTCGAAATAGTTACTTCGTAATAAGCCATGAGAATTTCTCACTTTGAAGTTATTATCTAGTGTAAAAACTACGTAATTTTCACTCACTAAATAACTATCACTGACATTTATACTATGAAGTTCTGAAATAAGTGATAAATACGTTATTATCACTAAATATAGGTAATAGTTTCTTGAACCATGGTGCCTGTGACTGAAAATGCTAGTTGGGTCCTAGAATAAGCATCTTGATATCCTGAACGGCTATCTAGCAAGTCTGAGCGCCTCTCGGACACCGTGCCTCTATGACTAGGAAACCTCTCCATAGTACGATATTCGAGCTCAAGCATCTACCCTAGCCTACTTACTAGTATCTGGTGTGATGGGACCGGTGGCTGTGGGCCTCGCGGGCCCGAGGCTGCTGAGCGAGGAGGAGGAGGAAACGGAGCCGCTGAGAGCCGAGACGGCTCGCGCGGCTGCCCCTGAGACGCACCCTGATGCGGGCCCTGAGCCGCCTGAGCTGACGCACTGCGACTGTCTCCACGCGGCGCGGGTGCTGCTGGCCTGCCGCGCCGACCTGTCTGGAAAGGCCCCCTCTAAATACCAACAACACCCCCACACATCGATGCTAACTACGAGTATTCTGCACCAAGTTGACCGAATTGACTGATAGTTTACCAGTCTGATACCTCAATAAGAGTTGTTCGAGTTTGGTGATGTACTAAGATTCACGGTAGGATGTAAGTTAGACCAGTAAATACATTAAGCCAGTTATCACAGGATAACCATTTCAAGTCCTATTCAAGGCGGGATATCAGTGGACATAAAATTTATATCTATAAGATATCCATTTGCGGATGTACTTGATATATCCGTAACTAAACGTCCTGAATACGTCCATAAGATATCCATAAGACACAGAGACAAAAGGTCGATACTTAGAATTTTCAAATCAAGTATGTACGATGAATGGAATGATGAATAAATAGAAGGAGATCCACAAAAGTAACACTTTTGCGTGGGTCTTCCAAAAGATAGCACACATTGTGACGCACTATCTCCTATTATTATTAATTCGGTTTACAAAAACAGCGCGAGGTGACGTAACGTCTCAAATAGTCCAAGATTGGTAGAACTGATGATTATTTATAGATCATCGATTCTACCAACCTTGGAATAGTCAAATAATGTCAATCTGTTCTCATATTCAGGGTGTTTCAAAAAAACCTAACTCCCTTGCTAGGGTTGGTAGAACATTGCATAAATTTTTCTGAAAGTTTAATACGTTTCAACAAATTGGACTGTTCTTAGGCAGTACCTATCAATACATTAATTTATTTTGATTTCAGACTGAGCCTTATGGTTGAGAAACAGGACTCAGGTGCAGGAATTCACCTAGAAGGAATAGGCATAAGGGAGAGCTACGCTCTTGGAAAGTATACCACAGTTTTCCAGGCTGAGGTCTTTGCCATTCTGGCAGTAGCGGAGAGGCGAGAGGTGAAAGAGGGACCAGAGCAGAAGATTTACATCTGCCCGGATAGTCAGGCGGCTCTCAAGGCTGTCTGCCATCCTAAACCAAGCTCAGCTTTGGTGCAGGAATGTGGCGATGCTCTTGAGAAAATATCTGAACAGAAGGAAGTCGAACTAGTATGGGTTTCGGGGCACAGGGGGGTGCCCGGGAACGAGGTGGCGGACGAGCTGGCCAGAATCGGATCCGCGACACCGTTCTGGGGGCCGGAGCCTGCACTGGGCATAACAAGAAGCCAAACTTCGTCTGTCCTTAACAAATGGGCGGACGAGGCACTAGAAGTATATTGGAGACGTATAGGCGGCTGCAGGCAATCGAGAGACCTGGTGGCCGGTCCAAGCAAGCCAAAGACGGCTTGGTTACTGGGCAGGGATCGCCAAGTCCTGCGTCTTCTTATAGGGATACTGACAGGGAACAACAGGTTACGCAGGCACCCATCACTCATAGGTGTGAAAGATAGTCCCACTTGCCGCGAATGCGGAGATGAGGAGACATCACTTCACTTCCTCGGAGAGTGTGAGGCGTATGGAAGGATGAGATTCGAAATCTTTGGAGTAGATAAACTACAACAGGAAGATTTGGTCGAATTAGAGTGGACGGACATCCTGACCTTCATTAGAAGGACGGGACGGTTCGAAAAAGACAACTAAACGAGGGATGTGTAGATATGTGGAGAGCAGGGGTTGGCAAAAAGAGCCCATGGGGGCCTACTTGCCTGGCTACAGCCTCCCCACAGTACTACTACTACTACATGGTTGAGAAATGGTGAAAAATTGTATGTAGGTATTTAAACTAATGTCATGTGTGCTTTATATATTCATGTTGGGAATCATTTTTGCAGTTTTTCACGAACACTTAATATTTCCTGAATGCAGGTATAATTTTGTAAATGGTAGGGCATATATATGTCTCTTTTTTAATCGTCCGTTTTAATCAAAACTGTTTCTACTACAATGCATTCAAAAACTTTTGGAGTGGATAATTATAGCCACAATGAGAAAGTATAATATGTGATTTCGAATCAGCTTTACCTCGAATATTTTGCTGATGTATTTACCAATTTTCCCCATTCGGTCACTTCACTTTCCATGTTCTAAGTTCATTTGCATTTGATGGAAAGCTGACAAATTCAAATTTGCCATCCAACTGATTGATACAGCCTTACGCAGTACATTTTACCATCCTTCCAAATCAGAATTGAATAATGTCGTATTGAGATAAAGTATAAAATTAAAATTTTGTAAGATCTCTTTCAACGCCTATGAATGTGACGTGACAGCAATGTCATGTCAGGGACGCCAATACACGAAACCAAAGTCACTAGATCATTAAAAGAGAAAGAAGCTATGATCTGTCCGTACCTTGTTAGATGACAAATACTTAAGTTTGCATCAAGGGAATCTAGGATTCAGTATCTGAACAACACTGAAGCTTATAGACGGTTGGCTCAGGTGAACTGGTTATACTAATAGTTATGTTTAACAGCCGCTTCCCTAATTTTCCCGTCAGAAAAATTGAAGAATCATCCTGGATTGATGTGACACTTCTGACTCTTCTCCTCTGTTTCCACTGCAGAGTCTGAATTAGTGTCATAGACCCAGCCTATATGAGCAAAAGGCACATGCACTTTCCGTATTTTTCCACACCTAATGAGCGTTCTTATCACAATATTCTAGCGAGTCCTGTAAATGATACTTCAATCAGCAGGTTACTAGCATGGCTTACTCATTTATGTTATACTTTTGATCTGACTATATCTTTATCCTTTCATGAACCCTTACAACTGTTTCTCTACCAGGTTTTTCATTGTTCTTCAGCTCCGGGCCACTAAATCAGTTCGATAATGAATTCTAGTGCATTTCCTAAACCATCGATATTAAAAATCCTTCATATATTTTCTGATCTTTTAGTCGATCATAGTTATCCTAGTTGAACGATCTGTCGTATTTTTAAAAAATGTTCTCTCTGTAATTGCTTTCATCAGCATGAGATGGTGGTATCCCTAGATTTGTTAAAAAGAAACTGCTTGTTGCCTATTAGTATCTAGATAAACAACGGAGAGACAACATTAAAAAACCTAACGTGAATCTCAGTAATGGTTTCTGTTACTGAAATGTGAATTTATTACATAATGAATATTGATGAATTTTCTAGAGCTAATGAACATGAAGGTACTCGTATAAGAATGCAGGTTCATTCTATGTGAAATTTTGAAATCTAATAATCGGAAATTATCAATTAATGAAGGTATGAAAATATATTGTGGATCTTTACTAGTGACATGATGTGCAGTGGGTATTGGGTTGCATGAAGTTAGTGTTGGCCTTTCTGGCAAGTATTCTTCACTTTGAACATTCTACCCTGGTTTTACTAAAAGTAATCTACTCAGCTATATAGTATTCTAAATTTACTGTACCCAATCTGTTGAAGTCGGAGGAACAGATGAGATGGATCTAGAATGTGAGTCTATTACTATAACTACAAGCAGTTCTAAATATACACGAAATTGTCATTAACATTGCAGATAAATATTCGAAACATAATGAGTAGGTATATTCAGTTTATTCTAATTCTAATATTCACACAGTATACATCAATCTAGGTACATTTGGATTGATGATCTTGAAACTACCTAGGGATACCTACATAAAATTTAATTCTGGATTATTTTGATTTCATGAGAATTTACGTCGGAGAAACTCAGTCGATTTACTAGACGTTAAGGCATTAAAGGTTCGATATTCCTCGATATATAGAATATCTTTCATCACAGATAGTCTCCCTATATTTTGACTCTACCTACAGCGTCAACTATACGAGGTGAAAAAAAAACTTCAGATATGAAAGTTGTAGGCGGTTTCACTGTATACTATCTTTTGGCACTCATTAAATAAACAAATGCGAATCGCGAAATGGAAAAGCCCAGATCAGTTTTTTCAATGAAACACACTGTTATTTCAAACTGTTGTGAAATATCTTTTTCTTCTGTTTACACATATACAGGGTGATTCAAAATTCGATGTAAATATTTAAAGGAGTCAACTTATAATATTGTGAAAGTAATAACGGATCAGTGCAAGTATTCCAGTACTGCACGCCTCTGAAATAGCAGTATCAAATGCATTCCGACACACGATCACCTCCGTATGCGAGATGCAAGCGTTTAACCCATCGCGTTCGAAAACGATGTCGTGACTTCCGCTTTCTTTGATTACGATTTACTGGCAGACAGTTAGTTGTATCGAAAAAATGCAAGAGACTGAATACTCATATTTTTTAATGGCCCACTAAATCATACTATTCAAAGTCAGTCCTCTTTTTAAACATTAAATTTGGGCCAATAAAGGTGTGGATCTTCCTCCAACTCCCCCAAAACAGGATTTACATCATTACTGAAGCAAGAAGGAAATGAAGTATCTAAAAAGACAGGGGCATGCCAGTTATCAAGAGATTTGATCCGTTATTTTAGACACATATGTATAAAATAAAAGTCTTATTTTTACTCAAATAATTTGGTAATGTTTCCTTGAGATTTCGTATGATTCTTATACGAAATTACCCATTTTAATTTGAAAACCGACAGAGATGTCACTGCTGAATAAGTGAAAAATTAATTAAGGAAACATTACCAAACTATACATATTTTTGAACAGAACTATTTCGACTCTTTTTATCATATTGTGATCCGCATCTGTTCGTTTAAGAAGTGCCAAAAGATAATAGAGATGAAATCTTGAAACTTTCACTTGAAGTTTTTACTACTCGTAAAGTTGACGGTAGGCGTAGGTAGGGGTCAAAATGTACGCGGAGACTTTTGACTTACTTATTATGCATTTTCTGATAAAATTCTCCTCGAACGTGGATGAATTGAATTGTTGAAATGGTTTATATCAATAAAGTAATGGAATCATTTGAATTCGATTTGAAATGCAAAGTTAATTCCCAAGAGTATTCTATTGGTAGATCATGAATCGTATATCAAGAGGATGAGTATCCCGAAGAAAAAATAATCCAAAATCGAATTGAACGCGGTATCAGGACGTAACCACCAATACAATAAGGCCTACTCGCTCCGCGGTGACGTCACGTTGGGTAGGCCTAACAGGGACTCGATCGGTCAAATTAATGTTTTCATGAAAAATTAAGACCTTTTGAATGACGACTTGACTTGAACCAATTTCCGGAAAACTAAAACGATCCAAAACAACTATCGTCTTGGAATACTGTGTAGCATGATGATATTTGGTACTATTTCTCGTATTTCTGCTGAATTTTTGGGCTCACGCACCTCTGATTTTCTTTTCAACTTGAGCGTGACTTCAAATCCTTCGATAAATAAGATATCCAAGAAAGTGAGTAGGAACATCTCGATTGAGATTTGGATTTTACAAATCTATTGTCACAGTTTTGTCAGTTTTTGAAACAGTTGGTATGAATTAATTCATAGGCTGTAAATACTGAAAAGCTGCTATGCAGTTTGTCGACAGAGGTGAATATCCGAGGGTAAACATTAACATTAACAATAGAAAAAACAAGAACTCCAAGTCAATCGGTCACAAAATTATATTTGGAAGTGGACCTAGCTATAGTTTCAGAAACATACACCTGAGTGAAATTATATTGAAACCAAAGCCAATTCCATAGGTTTGGGATATAAAGCTTGTTTGTGAGTGAATTTATCAATATTTTTCGCCTTCTGCAAGGTGGAACAAATTTTGGTTTCTATCTCTTTCCAAGTACCATCCAACAGCTCTTTTTCAGAGTTTTTCGGTTGTGTTTCGTAGGCTATATTAATGAACTCACTACCATATGCTGCAGTTGCAGGCCTGCCAGCTATCTCGTTGACCCCCGTTAGAGTAGGCCCACAAAGCAGCGTTAGCCCGATAGCACGCACAGCTGGTAGTTTTTCGTGTGGGATTCGTTACTAACTCCATGCACTACACTGGAAGCAGCACTGTTAATTATTGTAACGCAACAGTGAATCGTGCAGGACTCCATGTCCCTATGAATAGGTACTTGTATGTCTCTGATGATATCCGTTGGTCCAAAACTAAGGTTACACTCTCAAATATAATTTTCTATTTGACCGACCTAGGCTTTTTGTTATTTCTTTTGAATATTACAAGGCCACTCTGAGAATGGATGTTTTCCATGACTTGAGGACTTTACCTTTTAACATTGTTATTTCGCCTAACGTATCATACATTTCACAATGTTTAATTCATTTAAATGAATATTCGCGAGTTCAACTAACCATGAGGGCGCTGCGAGACGTAAACAAGAATGAACGATTGTCAGTAATGTTTTTTACACTTAGTATATCTGTCAAGCTAGCAAAATCATTTACTGAATGTCAATTAGGCTAGTTGGCACTCAAGTATCTGTCAATTATACTACATAGTTACCATTTAGTATCTGTGAATTATAAAAAAATATCATATATATGTCGCTTCTACGCTTTCGTAAGAATCAGTAAACAAACCAAAACCACGACGAAGTCTATTCAGACGGTTTTAGAATCCGTATGAACGAATGGCCTACCATAGGTGACGTAACGGGGTGCTTGCGTCAGAGCCTTGCGGCCTCGTCGTAGCGGTGGTACCAATCAGCACCGTCGACCCGCGTAATCAACTATACATTACCTGAGTGATGGTGCTTGGGCGTGGGCCAGATTTGCAGCAGGTACTTCAGCACGCTGATCGGCTGCTGGTAGTCGACGTCGTGGTGCGACTTTGTGGTGGTGGGGGTGATCGAGTCGATGGTCTGCAGCATCAGGGGAGGCGCGAGAGCGGTAGCGAGGTTCTGGGCGGACATCTTGTTTCTGTCCGAGGCCGAGACGACGAGGGCCAGGTGGTCCATGAGGAATATGAGGGTGGCCTGGAAGAGCGAATGGAGACGTTCAGAATCGGAATAACTCGGCTCTTGACCATTTTGCGAGGGGTCCAGTCATCAGTAACCCTAATAGCACTCAACCTCCTAGGGACGTCCGTTTTTGGTTGAATTCAAGTCCGAATGTCTTGGACCTATAATAATTGTCCTTGGGACGTCCCATCTTGTACGTCTCATGCAATGTCCGAGCAAGGACGCCCATGGAATGTCTGAGCTGGTACGCCATTTCGAATGTCCTAGAAATAGCATCCTTATGACGTTCCATATAGTAGACTGTCCAGGCACGGACGTCCTCAGCATGTCCCTGATGAGATATAATTTTGAGCGTTCCTCTAGGAACATCCATCGGATGTCCCAATAAGTACACTTCATGGAATGACTTCAGATCTTATATGATGTCCTTTCCAGAACTACCATGAACTATTCCAGACGGTACATTTCCTCAAATATCTCTGTACGGAAGCCATTAATATTTCCAGGATCGTATAACAAACGGAATGTCCCTTATTCTTTCATAAAAATTTAATGTACATTTTGCTATAGCTATAGAGGTGGTCATTTCCAAAAAAATATTTTCTAGTGATGGTAGTTAATCAACTGATCCATGCTGCTATTCCTCACCCTATTGGTCCTGGGCAAACAGTCCAATATTGAGAACATTAGCTTCGCATCACCGTATGCTTCCCTAACCCCGCACAAGTTTCAACTTATGGGGCGTTGGTTGTTGTCAAATATATCATAATGATTTGATGCTTCAGGTGATCATCTCCAACGAGGCTCTCCTAGTATAATTCTAGTTAGGCCATGGATGTCTGTGCATGTATGCATCCCTAAACCCACGCAAGTTCGACTTATGGGGCGTTGATTCCAGTTCCAACGGAGGAATTAGATTTGAAAAAAACTTATCTATGCTGTTATCACTCACCCTGTTGATTCTGGGCAAACAGTCCAATATGGAGAACATCAGCTTCGCATTTCCCTCCGGATCGTCGGGGAGACACACGCCCAGAGCGTCGACCATCATCTGGTAGAGGCATTTGGTGAAGAGTGGCTCCGGCAGCTCGCGCAGATAGTCCTTGAGAACCCCAGTGATGACGTTGATGTCAGGGACGTTGTCGGGGCTCAGGTCAACGGAGCGGCTGTTCCGTTCGAAGGCTTCTCTCAAAATGCGTTTTTTCGTTGCTGAGCCGCATAATCGATAAAGTCCTAGAAACAATTTCGTCAAGTGTTACATCATTACTTCCAATACATATTAGTCAGATAACAAAAATCATGAAGTACCTACTCACACTGTGAGAATTACACTTTTGTGATTGACTGGCCTTTGTTAACAGATCAGAATATGAATTTTGTTGAAATCAAATGTTCACGATTATGGAAACATAATAAATGCATTGAACAGAGCATTCATTCTAATACCAATGTGAACCCTTTGATTATGTATAATCAAGGATAATACTGTTCAAGGAACAAATGGATCTCTAGTAGTGGCGGGGCATTTCACCATTTATATAATTTGTTTTCTCATTGTCAGATGAATAAGCTCTTGGAGAAAGAATAAGTTACACCACATTTGATAAACTGACATGGTTATGTTACAAACAGGGGGACATAAAGAAACAAACTCAGCTTCGGTTCCTCATCTATATGTAAGTATTTTCATTTTGTCACTGAGAATGTTGGGAAGTAATCCAACCATTTAATGATGATTGATTAATTAGGGACTTGTCTCGTAATTCCTCATCTTGATTCTCATATACAAGGTGTTTTTGAAATAAGTGCGCATATATTCAGCACATTAATATGATACAGTCTAAGGAATATTCCCATGATATCAGATTTCTTTTAATTGAACAAAATACGAGGAAAAAATCGAGTACGCCACTTTAAAACAATTTGAATGATTGAACTCCGCGTGATTGTGCCTACCGCATGGAAATTTGCACAGAGGTGACGTCATATTTGTAACAGTGTAGAACTTCTGGTGGAAAAAGGGGTCTATAACCTCAAATTTTATTTTGATCCCTAAATTTTTCTTCAATATTTCCATTCGATATTACACGTCGAGCTTCCTCAATGTTTGAAATATTTGCACTTATTTCAATGCCCCCCTGTATAAGTACCTATGTATTGGAGATGATTCATTGTCTTCATTATAGTTGCCGTTTTCATGGTCACACTATCATATCAATGGATGATGTCCCAGCAAACACATATACAGGGTATTTGGTAAACAATAAATCGTAGAACAATGATATCGAAAAGCTACCTTCTGTAAATGTTATAACTATATACTCAGTTTTAATCATCGAAATGAGAATCAACCTATGGAACGCTCCTTTGGGAAATTTTGATATTTTGGCAATATTCGTTAGACTGTATCATATTATTCTTTAATCCTATTACAGGCATTTTATTCAAAATACGAAATTTCATTTCTACCAGATACTTGAAGAGTATTTATTTCTCTCTTATTTACTCAGAATTTCAATACCTAATATCTATATGGGGAAGTACCAATATTTCACGTTTGAGTCCACTAATGAAATTACAAAATAAAACATTGAAGTGTATTTTCAATTTAAATTTTCTCGAACCAACCATGAATTTATACAAACCTAGAGATTTATTAGATCTGACATCGCTATATAAACTTAAAATTTGTTGTTTTATTCAATTTGTCCTATATAAATTGAAAATTTCGAATTTAAATTTCAATGAAATCAATTCATTACATAATCATGGAACAAGACAATCAAATTTACTAATAGCAAATACGTTCAAGTCAAATATCGGCAAACAATCAATTTTTCACGCAGGAATCGTTCTATACAACTCATTACCAAGTCATTTGAGGAATATACAGGAAGCAACTAGATTCAAAATTAACTTAAAAAAATATCTGCTTCAGAGACTTTGATAATTCCATTTCTCATTTGAATACCTACTTATAAAAGACTAGGTTGATATTGCATGATTATTTGCATTTTTTTTTCAACTTGTTATATCTTATTATAATTTCATAATTGTATGTATAACATTATGTATATTGTTTATGTATCCCTATTATAAACAACTATGTTTCTTGGGGTAATAAAGACAATCAATTTCAATATCAAAAACACTTCGTATACTCACCTATTATGTCCAGACCTCTTCTTTCAACTTCTTCCACGCATCTTTTGATGATGATAGGTATACTGTGTTGAGGACTAGTAACTAAACCTGTTGCTACTCCACCAGGGACTCCACCAGTCTTACATTCTCGATTTACCTGAGGAATTTATTGATAATTTGTTATTCTATTGAAGGAGTTGTAAGGGAAGATGAAAGTACTCACCACAGTCTCTAGATCAACACCAAAAAGCGGCGTTGTTCTAGACAACGTTAGAGTGGAAAGTATTCTTCTTCTGTAGAGAGTTTGAGAATCTGTGTGTCTCAGTCTCAAATAAAGTGTGCCTGAAATCAATGTTATGAATAGTACTACTAAATATACACCCATTACAGAGTTAAGGAAAAACTCCACAAACCATGAGATTTCGACAACATATTTTCACAAAACGACACATTAGATTTCGATAAAGTCATTATTGAAGAATGCATGCATTCATCCATCGGATATTATCTTTAGACGAGGGCGATTTATTCACGGAAATATTGACGATCTGCCACTTACTTAGATCAGTTTGAATCGCGGCATTCTTAGATATTCGCGAAAGGGACATTTTCCCCTTTCATTTGCTTTTTGTATCAAATCGATATCACATGACGGAAGTAAGCTCGAAATAATACAAATAAATCGCTTTGCCGTGGATTTGGGTCAGACAGAGGGGTGACTCAGGTAGGTTTTTGAGATCTACTATTCAATTGGTTTCGGATGGCATAATTCTTATCTCGTTATCAAATCGCAAAATCAAGTGCACATTTCCGCACAGGCAATTGCAATTTTTTATTAATTTTGCTCAGGATAGTGATGGGCACAGTTGCCATTCGATGAACTACAATGTTTTCATTTTCCTTTGGGACATAAAATATCATTTTGTTATCAGATGACGGTAGAAATCTGCAGCTGTCTCTCTTTCTATAAACTCGTAACACTATGAGGATCGAGTCACAGACACTCTGTATGAGCAACATTCATACGAGGTGTCCCAGAATATCGTACCATAAATTTCATCAAAATAGGCCGATTGAAATCAACTCACCTCTATACGATAATGTTAAGGTTTTGCTCTGAAATTCGTAGGGCAATGCACTATAGTGAATGTCCATACTTGTTTATGATTATCAGGTTTTGCAAGTTTTCATTACTCTTTTGTGGTTAGTTATTGACCACAATTTGAGTTTGATGATGATGGTGTTGGTCATTTTGAAATTTTGCTTCTCTAATAAAGTGTTTTTACCAGAAATTCTGAACTGAAATTTAGAAATGTCAAGCTCTCAAATCATGAAGAAATAACGAATTTGTGAACATGATTATTGTGGTCAATAACTAAACACAAAATTGGGTAGAATCGAGCAAAACATGATCCGAAATGACTTTTGTTATATATCTAGAGAGCCAAGGAAAATTATAAAAATACTGCAGTTGAAAAAAAGTGAGATAATTGACTTTGTCATTCTTTGAAATATCAAAATGTGGCCAGTGCAGTATCCCAAGAAAGTTACATCAATTTGTATCAAAGAGAAAGCGAAATACCTAATTTACTCTATATTAATTGAATTGATATGACATGTTTTATATAGTGAATTGCCCTTTGAAGTTCAGAGCAGTACGTTTCAAGAAAAATGCGGAAATAAAATTATTCTTTATTGCCCTCTCACGGTTCAATGGTGCATTTTTCGCATTTCGGCCTATTTTTGGTCTCTTATTAACCCTGTAGAATTTATAGTACGTTGTTCTGGGACACCTTGTATATTGTTCATGTGAATATATAGAGCGATATACTCCCTGTATATTCATCTCTGTCTGGATTTTCATGGTCCAAAATTGATTTTTGAAAATGTAAAGAATAAGCTGAGGATCTAAAGAATGGCATATTATCTGGCTTTCTTGAGAATCTGGAGTTATTGTGACTGTTGGACTAATGAATGTTAACGTATCAATTCAAAGTTTGATTTCTGAAAGGGAAATAATGAGCAAGGAGTTTGTATAAAAAAATATGTGAATGATTGAAGGTTTCAACACAGTTCCAATTTGATCGCACTCATAAACCAATAATGAGCTTTAATAAGTTTCATGTCATTCAATAGTCAAGGTTTTATTTGAAAACCAGAAGCAGCTACTGTGTTAGTAAAACATGTGTGTTCTGAAAATTATGGTTTGTGTAGTTTCTTCATAAACTAATAGAACTATGGAATTTCAATCAAGTAACAGCTGAGTTGAAAAAAGGGAAATAATGATCTGGTCATGTAGAGAATTGTTTACTGTTTCATTCAATTTCTCACCTCTGGGCTCAATTTTGAGAGCCAACTGGTGTAAAGGACCGGACTTGAGCAGAGTGGGCAAATAAACTGACCCCTTGTAGCACAGTTTATGTCTGTATTGTGGATCCCAAGAGTAAATTAGCAGGTCCAATTCTCTGTTGTTGACCAAGTCGAGCTCGAAGCTCTCGTCCCAGTCGAACACTAAATCACCCGTCCTGACCTTCAGAACACAATTCAGTTGTAAATTGAGAATGGATAGGGTAATAGGGGTTCATACTCACCACTGTACGAGCTTTGTGGACTCTGTCGCATTCCAAGACACAGTAGAGATCTCTGACGCCAGTAGAACCTACAATACATCGAAAGAGTTGTAGACAATATAATATTACTTTTGTTGCTTTGTAAGCCTGAACACATAAGATGAATACTGACATTCTCCACATTGATACATTTGATGTCGACTTGCAATATTTGTCATGAAAAATCCAATTAGGGCTAACATGTTTTTACTGTCGCCTAATCGCGCTAGTGAAACTCTAGTTACGGATATCTTCATCTCTGCTATCATTGAAGTTGAGCGTGAAGTTTCATAATGGAAGTGAAAACTGAAGCCTGCCAAAGCCTAACGATATCCCCATATCACTGTTTCAGCAAACTGCAGATTGCCTCCGTCTTCAGGGCTATCCACAAATTGTGTTATTTTTGACATTGATATATAGACCACAAGCCCCAGTAGCGCTGGCTGGTGAGACTGATGAGACAAGGGATTCAAACGCTGAAGTCCTGCCTGCTGTTCAACATACCTATTCAGGAGCATAATAGCAGCACATTGGCAGGTCGATTTGTTTGGTATTGTATCCCTTATCAATATTTGTTTTTATATTGTTCAATTAAGTCGTTTTGAAGGATAGTGTTACGTAAAGGAATGGTAATATGCTAGCAACAGACAGTAGACTGCAATAGATTGCCGACATCGTCATCAAATTGATGACTTATTCTGCGTTTATGTGACTGGAAAGGTTTTCTAGTGTTTCGAGTCTTACACATTTATTTGTTCAACCAATCTAGTGCTTGGCTATTTTGAAAATTACCATTTGCTTCTATCATGGTTCATGTAACCTTATGACTTCTAGAGGTGAACCACAATAGGCCTATTGGAGGTAACAGTCTTCGTCTCACTCACATGCGAAAAATTTTTGAGGAACATTGGGAAGCAAATTGTTTTCTTCATCAACATTTCCCAAAATTGTATTGATTTACTGGTCTAGAGATAGCACCTAACAAATGATCAGAATATTCTTATTTGGTGAAAAACCAATGTTTCTGTGAAAGTAAATTCACATTGAAAATGTGCGGAATTCTAAAAGTGAGTACCTTCAAAATTGGACCAGTACATAATATAGCAGAATTAATCAACTGGTGAAAGATTGAAGTACAAGATGGAGTTCATCGTAAAAATATTCGATATGTGAAATTCAGATTATTCGCCTCAAGTATCTACTAATTAGTTGAATTATACTGTATTCAGTTTATTCCAACCTCATCTCACCTAACCTAACTTCCCAGTAAACACAAACATCCCTGGGATGTCACATTCGTGTCGTTTCGGTAAGTAACAATGCGAAATACAAAAACCATCATTTGTTTTGACAGGGGACTCTTTATTTTACAAAACATTCACAATTTTTGTCACATTTTATTGGATTTGAGACACAAAATGTAGGTGGTTGTGAGGCTCCCTAATAACCAAGAGACTCACGGGAATCTCACATTCTTGTCAATTTATATAACAAACGAAATCAATCAATTCTGATGTCGAATGAGGAGTCGCTTGATAAGTACTTTGAGTTTCATTTGGCTTCATAATGTGAATCATTAAATGACCAAAAGGGTCCGGAGTAGCAGTCATTGTAATTCCAGTGGAACTCTCATTTCGAGTCAAGGCTGTGATGTGTGGAATTGATTTGATGCCCTGCTATATCTCTGGGATCAATCTGTGTTAACTGGGCTAAACTAACCTTACCTAACTTAACCCAACCTAATCTTACCTTACCTGTCCTAATCTAACTTTATCAAACCTATAAAACTATAACCCACATACCTGTTATGCTTGGTGATGCACCACTCGGTGTTACGGGTGTCGTAGCAGCAGAAGTACCAGTAGATGGTCGCAATCCTCTTCCCGCTAGCAGATGTACCCATAACATCCCGCTCACAGGTTCATCCGATGTCATAGCGCCAGGACCCGAGCTCATTTGTGACAACCCTGTAGCAAGAATTGAAAAAATGTTGTACACTTCTATTGAATATCATATAACGTCTGACATAGACTGAACAGAATCTACAGGCCCAGTGATGACTGACTGGCGTAAGCGTGGGAACTTTTTTTTTCATTTGTTGAATAGAATTATTACTCAATCACCTTCCAATTCCATATTTTTTCAGATTTTTTTCGGTCGATTTAAGGTGCTAGAATCATCAATATTGCCACGGTAATTTTGAAACCGCTGGAAATTCACCGCAAATGAAAACTGACGTCAAGATTTCGTAAGTTGGAGCAGACCATAGCACAGTTGCTATATGTTGAAATACCAATAGGAACTTCAGAAATATTAGTTATACAGGGTGTCCGGAGATAAAACCGACAAAACTCGTGGGGTTATAGGGACTGTCAATATGATTGCAAAATGCCATAAACAGATGTCCGAAACCGCTTCGTTACTGACATACAGAGTGATTTGTGGATTTTGACAAGAAATTCAATTCGCCATATGAAATACAGGGATTGACCGATTAGATTCAAATTTGGTACACAAATTACACTGAAAGGCATCAACAAGAAGCCCTTTGATCGAAACCAATATCAGGACCGGAATAATATTTTTTCCCTATGTTGAGTTATTGTGAGAATAACTCACCCTGTATACTAATAACCAAAATTTCGAACTCAGATTCGAAACCTTCGGTAAAAATTGTATAGGAATTTGTTCAAGAATCTTCTGGCACTATCTCAGTTATTCCGTAATTAATTATTATTTCAATTTTTTTCATTCAAAAATCAATTATTGTTGGATAAAGGACCATCAAAATTGGTAATGAAATAAATATTCATGAGACCATAACATGAATGTCGTTATTTTCTTCAATCGGTTCGTAAATTGTAGTAGAATGTAATACTCTCATAACCCGAAAAAACTGAGGAATAAATTCGTATCAGGAATGGAATGAGGTTTTTTATGATTATATTCCTGTAAGAATGACTGATGCCACTTACCCCAATAGATGGATCGGCCGTGGAGGTAAATTGGCCACCGCGATCCCCTGATCTAACTCTGCTTGATTATTTCCAATAGGGTTATTTAAAATCAGAAGTTTATAATGAAGACATCATAAATAGAGAACATTTATTAGAGAAAATTACTGCTGCCTGTGATAGTGTTGGAAGTAACCCTCAAATAATTCGGAAGTCAGTGAATCATATAATAGCACGCTTTCAAAAATGTACCTACTGATGAAGGGCTCCACTGCGAGAATGTTTTGTAATACTGGGTAATGGAAGTTTTCTACGAATTTATTTGTTTTGTTATGATCATTACAAACAGTTATTGTTCGTTGTGTAATATTTTCAAAAATTCAAATTTCATTAGTGAGTGAATATGATTTACGAAATATTCACTCTAGTTCTTCTTCAACAAGTTCTCATGCGATTTTTTATAGATTCCGAATCTACAATCAGATTATTGATAATTATTGATGTACTAGGTCAGCTAACATGAACAAGAAAAACCTCATTCCAGTCCCGATACGAATTTATTCTTGTTTTTTCGGATGATGAGAGTTTTTAATTTTACTACGATTTACGAACTGATTGAATAAAATAACGACATTCATGTCATCGTTTCGTGAATATTTATTATATTACCAATTTTGATGGTACTTTATCCGACAATAATTGATTTTTGGATGAAAAAAATCAAAATAATATTTAATTACGAAATAACCGAGATAGTGCCAGAAGATTCCCCAACAGATTTCTATTCGATCTTCACCATAGATTTCGAATCTGAGTTCAAATTTTTGGTTATTATTATACAGGGTGAGTTATTCTCACAATATCTCAACGTAGGGAAAAAATATTACTCCGGTCCTGATATTCGTTTCGATCAAAGGGCTACTTGTTGATGCCTTTTAGTGTAATTCGTGTACCAAATTTGAATCTAATCGGTTAATCCCTGTATTTGATATGGTGGATTGAATTTTTTGTCAAAATCTACAAATCACTCTGTATGTCAGTAATTGACAGTCCCTATGACTCCATAAGTTTTGTCGGTTTTATCTCCGGACACCCTGTATAATAATTAATTAATCCTAGATTATGTATTGGTAAAATTTTTGTCTACGCCCATGTCTCTGTAAACGTCAAAAATCGCACATTCAACATACTTGTAGATGACATTTAACAATAACATGCACGTAATGAAATCTCATAACATACACGTGCGCTTTGAGAAGAAAATCTTAACTTCTTGGTTTGATTGAATTACAATCAAATTTTTATTTACGTAAGACTTTATTTAGTCTATTTACACAAATTTAGTCAATTGGAAAATATAAAAACTTTAAGCATAAGCGAGATATGTTTAGGATTGAAAGAGTGATGCCCCTAAATGTGGACAACACGTTATGCAATTTCTTGTAGCATGCTATGAAAATAAATGTCGTGTCATTTATATTGTCAATTTCTTGCAAAAAAGATAATCATAACCAAACATTTTCTCAACTTCATCTACGAATATATCTGATAGTAGTGAAAGTGATGAAATTATGAGTACGACTCCACCACAGAACGACGACTTCACCGGAGATTTTAGGAAAAGCTCAAGCTGCCACACATAATTTGTTACCGCTAAAATCCAAAGAAAAGTACGAAATAACCTATCAAAAATGCATTGGTTGGCGACACAGGCATAACGTTAAATCCTTTCCGGAGAATGTTTTACTTGCGTATTTTGAAGAAATATCAAAAACTAAAAAGCCATCTTCTCTATGGGCCATTTATTCGATGCTAAGAACTACACTAAACATAATAAAAACATGAACATAGCAAATTATCCAAAACTAATTGTCCTACTGAAGCGGAAATCGGATGATTTCAGAAGTAAAAAATCCCCCAACTATTATAATACAATTTAAATGAGTGCGATGGTTTGTATATAATGGAAGAAAATGAATGTAGAAAAAGTATAGTACGTTACACGAGATGAACTTTTTCATTTCATGAGTAATGGGTTACTCACAACTCTTGTTACGTAATATACTATTATTAGCTATAATTGTCTCCATTGTCTTGTAATTTCCTTTCTTATGTTGTGTCATTTTGCATATGATGGATTTGTGTTGATAATGATAATATTGATTCACAGTAGTGGATACGAGGTCCTGAAATATGACAACACAGGATTGTGCGCGTTGTCTTGTCAGTTCGCAGCGTTCAGCACAGCATTGCCAAGTTTCTAGCCTAGCCAATATTTACATGATGTTTTGACATGGAGTATAAGAAAATAATATAACAAGCTGGTTGCTCGAGAAAGTCACAAATCCATAACTATAATATCATGGCTTCCTCTTGTTAGGTCAAATGAAATATTCAATTTTGATATAATTTTATCCAAAGACAGAACTCTAAAACCTTTTCAATAACTTGATTATAATTGACACCGAACATAAACGTCTCTGTTTTATGTTCGGTGTAATTGATGACTTGACAACCTTTCTTCCATGCGTGGAAAGGGAAGATTATCTGACCAATGATGAAACAGCATTAAAACTGACGTCCCCATATATCCGTACGTACGGCACATTTGAAATGAGTTCTGAAAGTCAACAACTTCGAACAACGCATTGGCACATTATCTTCTGCAAGAATTAGGTAATGCAGTCCAAACAGAGAATTTAGGGTTGGGTATAGATAATTTGCTTCAGCTCATGAAAATTACTGAGAATAGAGCTAATCTTTCTGTATTTAGTTATCTACATCTAATGTTTGTTAATCTGCCAAGAGGTCGTGAATTCCGTTCATGTCCCTTGATATTGGTATTCGGCATTGGAAAATGGGCCGAACTGGAAAACATGTTTTCTTTGGGTCCTGAAATCCTCTATATCTGAATAATTCGTGTCTGTACAAATGGAAATTCAACCTCAAAACGAGCAGCCTGCAATGTTAGTCAGATGTTAATATTATCCAGGAGAAAAAAAAAATTGAGAAACAATTCGAAAAAGGAACGTGCGTATATTATTTATTCGTTCATAGAAATTAATTATTGAATTCAACTAAAGTTATGGTTTTTTGTAGAGGAGGATATATCAGTAACTATACCCAAAGATTCACTTGCAATGATCATGTCTTAGAAGTTGTAAGAAACTTCACATACTTAGGGACAGAATTTTCTTCATCATCCTTGTTTCTAGAAATGGCCAAAAGAACGGTCATGAAAGCCAACCAGGCAATTGGATCTGTAATGAATTTAATGTTCCGTTCAAAAGTCAATTCTTGGTCATCGAGAATCAAACTATATGAATCTATTGTGTTGTCCTCGTTATCATATGGTATTGCTATCTGGGGCCTTCGTTACGCGGATATTATAGAGCGTGTTCAAGTGCGTTTTTTCAAACGTTTACTTTGTTTGCCAAAAAATACTCCAGACTATATTATAAGCATAGAAACTAGCTGCATTAAATTATCATACATTATATTCAAATCTTCGTTATCTTGGCTCAACAAATTGAAAACCATGGAAAACAACAGACTTTCCAAAATTTGCTATGTATGTACGTCTACTTGATTTAGAGAGAAATGACATTAGATTTAATTGGCTTCCGCAGGTGAAAGAATACTTTATATTTGCCGATTGTGAGAACTTATGGCAGCGCTTTCTGAACTATAACTCGAAAAAGCTCACGAATGATATTCTGGACAAATTCAAGGAAAAGCTAATTTTGCTGGACTCTGAGAGACTTGCAAGTTCTTCGTTCTCACTCCTATACAATGGCTTAACAGTTTCCGAACCTTCAAAATCCTACTTGAGTATTCCCTCACAAATTTATATAACACGCATTATTGCTCAAATCAGAACTTCCAGCAAAAAGTCGTTGATGTTTTCGTTTCACGGTTCCTTTTACCACATAGACACAACTGAGATGTGTTCAATTTGCAACTTACAAGCAACCGAGTCTTTGCATCACATCCTATTTGAATGTCCTATCTACTCAGGCATAAGGCAAAATGCGATTCTGTCGGAAATCGGCGATATTGATGGTCTAGTACTTCTACTCAATACTCACAATATTTTACACTTAGCAAACCTTGTGAAGTCGCTGATGAATATTATGAAGTTACGATCGTTCATTATGAATGTATGACTGTTAAAAATGTGGCTATTAGGTATACTTAGGAACTTGTATAACTCTGTAATGTGTAATGTACCTACATTAGTTACTCAACTTATTATCCATGTGGAATCATGTTTGCATACCGAGCCCTTGTGATAAAAATGTAATTTTTTTATAACACAATAAAACTATCTATCTATCTTATTGAATTCAACTATATCAATCAAATTGAGTTTGTTTTAAATAATGTATTCCACATCGTACAGTTTTTTTTGTCTCAAAGTCCTGAAATCCGATCAAAACCAATGGGGTATAGATTACTACCCCACGCGGGTCAATCGTCAATTACCCAGGTTAAGTTGCGTACATGTGTAAATGTTGTTGTTGAGACGTGTGAAGTTCGATCTTAAATCTATCTGTAATAGTATATAAATTTTGTAAGACCATTCTGGATGATGTCTTGCCCGATGAGCAGTATAAAAAATTGTGTAGCCATATGGTCACTCAAACCGATGAAGGGTTAACCTACCTGTCATCGAGGGTCCTGTCACCATTCCCGGCTTATCCAGCTTGTACTTGAGGAACTCTGCTGGATTGATGTCGATCTGCCTCTGACCCCGCGGTAAGGTGCCACTAGGGGTCGGTACGGGACTAGGGGCGCCGGCTCGCACGGAATCCAGGTCGAGGAGCTGTCGCATGCGGCGCATCGAGGGAGATCTTGAATTACCTAAGGCTGGGAGAAAGTGAGAGGATCGTGAAGGACTCGGGACTAAATAGCAATAGATAGTTACCGCGATTCATTCATGAATTATCATGAAGTATACGTTGTAGTACCACGGGGACTTTCTAAGCTCTTTGAATATGCCTTCCTTTACAGACTTCTTAGTTTCATAAGAACGAATGAAATTATACATGATAATTAGCATGGTTTTACTCAGAAAAAATCAACATCAGCAATTCAATCATACTACTCGGAAAAAGCAAACTATGTAGACGTAGTCATGAAATTCTAGTCGAAAAACTGTACAGATACGTGGATTTTTGCAAGAATGTCATGAATATTAGTGATTTCGGCAACCATTGTTATCTCAATTGTTTCGCAAGCGACAGATTTTGTTATTACAGTGTCAGAGATATTCTGATAAATATTCCAATTCGTTCGGTTTCAACAAATATCACAATAATTATTCGAAAATGGTTCAATTTAGCAAAGGTTTTTGGAGAATTGTTTTTTACACTTCGAAAGAAATCTGTTTGACCTCATACATGGACTTCTTTACACAGAAACTAAATCTATCTATTCGTTTTCGATATAGTGCCGTGCGGAGTTTTGAGTAAAAAACCCTGTATACTTTACTCACACCTATTTCCATTCTGTCAATATTTTTTGGAATTTAGTTTTGTTGTTTTACGTATTAAAAATTTCAACCCAATCGGTCAAGCCGTTTAGTAGTTGACGTACCGACTGTAGCGCCTCCTGCCGCGTCAAATTAAATTTTCAAATCATTTGGGAAACCATCGAAATACCCACATAAAATTTCAATACAATCGGTTCAGCCGTTCGGAAGTTATGTGAAAAAGACGGAAGGATGATTTCTACTACCCGTTGGCCTATTACCCGTTTTCCCGTAGGAATGAAGAATTTTCCCGCTGTAAAAAGTAGCCTATGTTCATCAGGGATAATATCGGCTTCTAACAATGAAATAAACCGGTTCAGTACTTTCGGAGCCTATTAAATAAAGACAAACAAACAATAAAATATTTCGTCTTCAATGAATCTGGAATTCTATGTATGTGTGTGTGCGCATTATTGAATCAATTCTCACATATACAGGATGTTATTTGAGTATGTTGCCAAACTTCTAGCGGTGATTATTTGGGTGATTCTAAGATGAAGAGTTCATAAGAACATAGGTCCCGAAATGCTTCGTTTTAAAGATAATAAGTGTTGAAGTTGGAAGTATTGATTGTTGTTTTTCATGATTACCCTGTATAAGCTTTCATGATGGCAAATTTTGGTCTGGTTCGTGACTGAAAATCTGTTATCCCAATAGGTTTTTTAGGTGAGATACAAAAATCCAATCGGGTACCAGGAAGTTGTATTTTCGATTTTTTAATCTGATACAAATATCGAACATGAAAAAAACTATGACGTTAGGTACCTTGATTACCATGAATATCGCAAAGGTAACCCACTGCGACGCCACTGGAGTCATAATTTCCAATCTAATTACACCGAAAGAAGCTTCTTGATGATGTTAACAGAATAATATTTAAAAAAATTATTTATAGAAACTTCTACACCCTATATCTTGAAAACGATATGTCTATATGAACTTTTCGTCATAGTAAGTAATCACTTGAGGTTTGGCCACATACTTGAATAATACCCTTTATATTGTAACGTTCGAGTTAAGTTATTTGATATATAAAATTTCATAAAAAAACGCTTCTCATCAACGAAAGCACGCCCTCAAACAACACCGCCACTGTGCCAAATTTTCACGTACCTGTGAATTAGGTTAAAATGTTTGTAACTAACTTTCCTTCACAGATGTGATTCGTACGAAAGCGCTGAAGGAACATGGTAGATTTTTTTTATCTCGTAATAATGAGTTAGTTATCTCATTATTATGAGATAACTAACTCATTATTACGAGTTAAGTATCTCATTATAACGAGATAAAGTATCTCATTATTATGACTTATAGTTATCTCATTATTATGAGATACCCTAATTCATTATAATGACTTATTAATATGCAACGTTGCCAACATGTACTGATTTTCCTATTCAGTGAGAATAGACAATTAGACATCTCAATGAGAATGTATAGATACAATACATATACATATAGGCATAACCTACTCATATAGATTCATTATGCAAAATCTATCAGATATGGTTGCCAACTCTGTGTAATTTTTCCTTCTATATAAATTGAGTTGTTTCAGATATCGTTTCACCTGCCTTTCACTGATTACTATGTCCTGATGTTCCAAAGAGGCCTTTATTTCAGAAATGTTAAATCCTATCTGGAAATAACTTTCAATAAGTTGCTATCCTCTACAATTCTATGATATATCGAGCCCAGTTCAACAGAGAAGACAAAAAAGAGTTATATATTTTATCACACAACCTCACTACAACTCTCTCGACAAAATCTGAAGCCCAATTACTATCAATGAGACATGATGGGGAAACTACACGAAAACTGTGGCAACTCAGCAGTTGCAAAAATATTGTCTAAACATTTTCTGTTATCTCATTATAACGAGATAAAGTATCTCATTATAATGACTCAGTTATCTCATTATAATGAGTTAAGTATCTCATAATAATGAGATAACTAAGTCATAATAATAAGATATACTTTATCTCGTTATATACTCATCAACTCGTAATAATGAGTTAGTTATCTCTCATCTCATTATTATGAGATAACTAACTCATTATTACGAGATAAAAAAAAATCTCCATGTCCATGTCCCTTCAGCGCTTTCGTAGATTCGAGCCATATCAATTCACAAAATAGTTTGCTTCAGATTTATTGTAATAAATGAGTAACGGAAACACCGTGAACTCATCACACAATATCATACAAAACGACAAATGACATTTCTCACTAAGTAAGATTATCGTTCTCCTACTATGAAATTTTGCGTAGCCGCCACGTTCATCTTTAAATAATTCATATCCTTTCGAATCACGGATTTGGCAGCAGCTCCACAGAGGTCCATAGAATGTGATGTCCTTTTCGTAGAACAAGAGCAAAATAAATTACTCTTTTTAACTAGTTAGTTACTCTGGGGTGAAAGATATAGACTACGACGAATATAGAAATAGGGTTGACATGAATGAGTATCTAACTGGGACAAACTTTTTCGAAGTTTTAACAGCAGCTCCCATTGATTTATCGATGGAATCATCAATTCTTTTCCATCAAGACCGATATACAGTGTGTCCCAAATTCGATCCTCACCATTGGGATCTCAGTAACTATGGTAGATAGAGAAACGGTTAAATTAGCAAAGTTGTAGCAAATTTAATGTTGAATCATAATCTATCGAGAAATCCGTTCTAGCTTCAGTCATTCTTGAGTTATTTGAGAAAAACTGTAATCTTGTATTTTTGTTTTTCTCGAATATCTCGGAACCTATTGATTTTATGAAAAAAATGACTTCAACATTCTCAAAGCACTTTTTAGTGCTCTTTCCAATGGTTTTGTCAGTTTTCCGTCAAAATGTCAAACTTCTGAGATATCACCTACAACTTCAATTTTTCTTATGGGCGCCATATTGGATTTTCACAGATTTGAAATCAGCATCAAATTTCCTTTCTAGTGATGCATCACACTTACAGTTTTATTCTATTTGGGGTACTGATTTCCAATGTTTGTTTTTATGTCCAGTAGGCTATGCGCTAAGCTCTCTATAAACATTATCGATAATGTGTCCTGGCACAACTTTCATAGAGTAGGCTTGGAGCAAAGGTGAGCCAAGTGACATTTCTGTAAACGTCAAGAAAAAATACAAGTCAATTATTTCGGGGCAAACAATGCCGTTCACAAATCTCGAAAAATTTGATATGTACAATTGTTATATCAGAAATAATCGAAATAACAGAGAAACAGCTAGACAATACTTCCATTTATATCCAGAAAGACAACAACCGCATCCTTCTATTTTTCTAACATTACAAAGAAATTTGCAAGAGCATGGAAGTTTCATTGCACCTAGGCCAAGGTATGGTTTGCGCTTGGATGAACAAGATATTGCAAATATCGAAGGAATCATCAATCAAACTCCTACCATTTCAATTCGAGAGCTTAGTCGGAGAACTCTTGTGCCGAAAACAACAATCCACAGACATTTAGTGAATGATAAGTACCACCCTTTCAAACCAGTGATAGTACAAGGGTTAAGACCTGGTGATAATGAACGTCGTCTCGAGTTTTGTCACTGGTTCCATAACCAGTGTGAAAGAATCGAGAACTTTCCATTGAATATCTGCTGGACCGATGAAACGAGATTTCATAATAATGGAATTTACAATAAACATAATCATCATTACTGGGCACAAAATAATCCGCATGTCATCAGAGAATCAAAGTGGCAGAATAAATTTGGTTTCAATGTTTGGTGTGGGATATTTGGTACCTTACTAGAATTTTGGTCCATGAATAACTGTTTCTCATTGTGTATTTTTTTCAGGCAGTAGACTACTAGGTCCAATAATCTACGATTATAACTTGAATGGTCCACGTTATTTAGAGCTATTGAGAAATGAAATTTCGAATTTTATAGACGAGATACCACTTGCTGAATATGAGTTAATGTGGTTTCAGCAAGATGGTGCCCCACCGCACAATACGCGATTGGTTAGGGAATATCTCGAGAATCAATTTGGTGCTAAATTAATTACTACCCATGGACCTGTGAGATGGCCTCCAAGGTCGCCTGACTGTACGCCTCTCGATTTTTACCTGTGGGGCTACGCCAAAAATAAAATTTATGAAGATCCAATTCAAGATATTGATGATCTACGAGATAGGGTGATGGACACATTCCAGAACATCAACAGAGTTCATCTGAGAAAAGCAGCGAATCATGTTCGCTCGCGAATATTAAAATGTATCGAGAACAATGGGGGCCATTTCGAGCAGTTCAATTGATTTTTTTCAGTATTTGTATTATTCAACTGTTATTGAATTTTTTTTCTGCTATAATAGT